CACAGAAGTTCCCTGAGACAAAGCTCATCTGTGGTTAGAACCACAGTGTCATTTACAGTGCTTGTATGAGCCAAATGAATTCTAATCATCCTTATTTATGTTAACCTATTTACTGATATAAAGTAGTGAAGTGTAAACATCATCACTACTGTTAGGAATCCGACAGTATTTTGTAAAAGTTTAGCCTTAGGTAGTATCTGTGACTTTTCCTTTGAATCTTACTTAGTCTCTAGATTTCTCAAATGTATGTAGCTAAACATATCCTTGTGTTCATGGTGCTATTCTCCTGGTTCACAAAGTTACTCCAGCTCCTTAACTAGCTATCACAATGCCCAAAGTTCCCTGCCCAGCCTTTAGACCACAAACTAGCTGCACTACCTAACAGGCTTTTATGTTTGCTTCACTTCCTGGAGTGGAGGTGCTGTTCTGGGTAGGCATGTCACCATGTTGGCGCTCACATTCGGATCTTAACTTTTAGTATTTGTGTGTATGTGTATAAGGAAGCATAAGGATGGGATAGTCTCTAAAGAAGAACTAGATGGGGGAACATGGGAACAAGAGCTGCTATGAAGGAAGAAAGGATGCTGCTGGAGCCGGAGAACAGAATACCGGGAGGAGGAAAAAAAAAACGACAAAAAGAAGTTGTTTGAAAAATGCCACAATGAACCGATTTGTTGTATGTGGATACAAAAATAAAGGAAAGACTAGTGTATCTTCAAGGACAGCCTGGTATACTAGAATGACTTGCTCTGCAATGAGAGCTTGGTTTGTAAAGGCTCTTCTGTCTCTAGCCGTTTCTTTCCCTTTAAATTCTAGCTACCTTCAAAGACAACACTGTGCTCTTTGGAACGCATTCACTCACATGGCCTAGTTACTTTATTTAAGTAGCATAGTATTGGGAATATATATATATATATATATATATATGTAGTCTTATATATATAATGATGTACCTTTTAACAGTACATCATATAGCATGATCTACACAGTGTATAAACATTGAGTATACAGAAGTCATAAGAAATAGTGTTTGAAGAAACTGTCTTTTAAGTGTAGATTGATTTCTGAGTTTTAATTTTGATTTTTTTTAAATGAGGAAACTTGTAATCAAAGATATCAATATGGTGATCAGATATATAAATTATCCTTCCTGTGAAAAGTTACAAAGCTAGCTGGTGGCCTCATAAAAGCCACATAAAAACTTTTACATAAAAAGAAAAATTAGGGATTAAATAATTCCACCATTTTTTGTCATTGTCTACAGAGAGAATAGTACCATTTACTTTTTATTATTAGAGGAGAAAAAAAGGTCTTACTGGAGTTAAAAACTACTTTAGCAAAAATGAACTCATTTAATTTTTTTGATTCCAAGGGAAAAAATTTTGCAGAATATAGTAATTCTATGTTATAAATGAAGGTAATGTCCAGGGGGCTGAAATTGGAAGGACACAGGACTGCTTACTAAAACTGGTGGTTAAAATCCAGATTCCTCACTGTAAGCCTATATCTGTCCACTGGGCAATAGATCACATTTATAAGCGTTGTCTGTTGCAAAAATAACTTTTAGACTAAAAAACACCCCATTCACATCTTCCAAGTCAGTTCTCTGCTCAACTGCACGGAGCAGCAGACATGAGGGAAGGGAAGAAAGAATCTGGACAATTTCATGTTCAAAGGATCTTGTTGCTTTAAACCGTATGATGACAGAGCATCAGAGGATAGAAACTGGAATGGTTTCTTCCTCTTTGTGTAATCTGGAGAGTCACTAATTCTTTCTCTTGGATAAATTTTAAGTTACTGTGGAGAGAAGAGTAATATAAAAGATGAGAACCAATGCTCAAATCCCCACTTAGTCCCCATGGGCAAGTCCAACTAAGCATCAAAAACCTCCTTGGAGAACTACTTAACTGCATTATGGCTCATTCATTTGGAACACCTTGTTCTAAGCAGTGGGGCAAAGGAGATTTGCTGTAAAATCCAGTTCAACTCCCAAGAAGACAACGGTGGATTAGGTGACCAGAGAGACTCCTTGGAGACCTCCACGCTTGTGCTGTTTCTGAGTCATGTCTTTGGTCAAGGATAAGGTTGACTTTGAATAACATGGCTCATGCTTCAGCAATGTTTTTGTTCTAGGCAGATGGGCCATATGGAAACTATGAACTGGCTTAATAGACAGGACGTCGATGAGCCGATGAAACATTGTTATGCTCTCTGTTTTTATTCAAGTGCTTTAGTGAACAATATATTATCATAGAATAGGGCATATTATGTGACTTTGCTTAAATTCTGAGTTGTTATTAATTTTATTGTTAGGGATGTTTATAATAGACACGGTTTTCTTTATCAGAGAAAGTTTTTCATTTAGCAAGGATTGGTCTGTTTTGTATGCAAAATGCACTCCAATTCTTAATTGAAGGCACTGAATTATTTTGATACATCAATCCAGTTACACTCTAAAAACAGCTGAGACCTAAAATCAGAGGTTTTCTTTTTAAAAGGGAAGGTAATAATAAAAATCTTAAAAGGCAAAAACATTCTAGCAATGGAAGCAAGGAAATGAAAACAAAAAAAATAAAAGGAAAGGTAATTTTCTAAGAACCAGATGGAATACACTCCTGGTTCACCAGACAATTGTTATGAGAGGTGTAAAGCATTCATTCTCACTTTGCTAATTCAATAACTACTAGAGATATGAAAAACTTTTCAGTGTAAGATTTACCGAAAAAAGGAAGTTTTTTTGTTTTGTTTTTTCCTCCTGGAAACTACTAATTAAAACTTAATGAGAAACTGTGCGGGTGAAGAAAACTCACAGCTGCTGACGTAGTACCAAACTGGAGCAGATGAACAGCACTCGTGTGGTTGTGTGTTTTGTGGAGGATGTGGGAGGGCTACAGAATAGGTGAAATTAATACGTGGAAAAGAACTGCACTGGCTCCTTAGAGGTATTCAGAAACTCGCGTCTGTACCCACACAGCCTGTAAACCTCTGCAAAGGCTATAATAAGGGATGACCGTATTTCATTGTTGTAATTAAAACATAGTGGTCTCTACATGCTTTTCTACAGAGGGTAAAAATGCAAAAAGGGTATATAATTTAAATGTTTTTTTTTTCAAGGAGATCTTGAAAACACAATGATATTTTGTGCCTAAGATCAGAGGAAAATCACAAGGTTTCCCAGTATGATAAATGAACTTCACATCTTACAGGTTGTAATTCTTTGCATCTGGTATTTTCCATGTGATAAAAGAAGGTCTTTAGGAGGCTATAAAATATGCTCATCCCGTTCACCATGACAAATGGGGGGAGAGTTACATTTGTGCTGTTTTATAGCAATTCAGCAGAACTGAAGGCGAAAACTGAAAACCGGCTATAAGCAAACACGATAGAATCATTTTTATGATTAAAACTAATCTTAACTTTAAGAATAATTTAAAATTATTATATGAGTATGAAATGAATTGGTATGGTGTCATATGTGTGTGAAATAAATCGGTTTTCTTTATAGTGGGCCATTTTTATCTTGCTTTCAAAACGTAATGAGATTCTTACATAAAAACCTTCCCATCTGAGGAACTGAGCTTAGAAGTCTACACTCCACTCTAAGATACGATTTGTTCTTGTGAATGGTCTCCATTGATAAAACCAACTCCTTCCACATCTCCAGGAGGTGCGCACTCTTGGCACGGCTGCCACTCAAGTAGCCTTGTCTCTTCTGTTTTTCAAAAGAGGGTCTCACATTTCCCCACCTTTTAGAGTGAGCGTGGAGCTCACTACAAAGCTTTGGAAGTAGAACGCCCCGAACTTCTGATCTTCCCTGTTTTCTCCCGGTGCTGGAAAAGGCAGCTGCCACTGCCTGCACATCCAATTTACATGCAGCTTGGAGCACGTGAGGAAGGCAGTCTATCTACTGTGCTAGAGGCCCAGAGGAAGACATGAAACTCCTTTTATCCATGATATTATGAGTCTATATAACCAATATAGCACAAATACTGATAGACCGAAAACGACATGCATTTTAATCACCTGTTGACTTTTTACTATAAAGTTTAAATATTTGTTGTACCAAAAAAACTCCACACTGTTTTATGTTGCTAGTGAGAGAATATAAATTTGATACTTCTTTTTGTTGTTTGTTGTTGTTGTTTTTTCTTTTTATTTTTCAGGACAGGGTTTCTCTAACTAGACCGGGCTGTCCTGGTACTTGCTCTGCAGGCCAGGCTGGCCCTGAAATCAGATCCACTTGCCTCTGTCTTCAGAACTAATGGTGTGTCACCACCGCCCAGCTTAATTTTATACTCTCTCAACTGTGCATCTAGGCACACACCTAGGGACATTCTACACATGTCTGTAACAGTAGCATGGACCAGACACGGCTTTCTTCTAACAATGGCGCTGCAACACACCAAATGTACTTCTGAACCTTCTCAACACATGTACCTTTTTCTTTAATAACTAGAAATATCAACTTAGAGAGTTTGGAGAAATAATTGTGGGGCAATAACATCATCTTAACCTTCTGCCCTCCTGCTTCCTCTATTTGACCTGTCCACTTTGCAGGTGAGCACTGGGATAAGCGACAAATATTACCTCACAGTTCAGTTTCTACAAGGGGAAAGAAATAGGGATCCAGCGTCAAAGCCTTCTACAATATGTGCACATTTCTTTCGGCAGTTATTAAAGAAAACCACGAGGAAAGCAACATTAACATTATACATATGAAACCAAAAAAAAAAAACCAAAACAAACACGAAATAACCAACCCAACAACAACCTAAAATAAAAAACACCCACATACACTGAAAAGAGTTAAACCAGTTCTGGACATGACAGAGACAATGACAGATGGTGTGAATATTTCAAAACCCTCCACAAATAAATCCACGTTATTCAAACAGGATGTAACAAAATGGGGGAAAGAAGCAATGGAGCAAATCACAACCCAAAATCATCCGGAATAATCAGCTACAGATAGGAGCCACAGAGAGGAATTCATTTCTTACTTGCACAAGTATCTCGAAGGGTTTGTCAGGTCTTTCACCATGAAGCACTCGCCACCATTGACACAAAAAGTCTTCTCCTTCTCAGCGCACTTTACGAGATGGCTGGTCCCAGTTGTGGACGTAGAAGTGGCTGGATAGGAAAGAGAAAAGGAGGAGGAAGTTTGACACCTTGTTCTGTAAAGAGAGCTGCCATTGTGATTCAATAAAATTCCATCTCCAGCAAGGCTCAAATGTGATGGTATCAGAACCCATCACTGACAGGAATTTTTTAATAGAAATGACTGATAAAATCACTCATTTTGGCAATTATATTTTATGTGTGTGTTCACTCTGCACATTTTAGACAGCTGACAACAAGAAACAGAGGCAGTTGGATATCTCTAGAAATGTACAACCTGCTAGAAGACTCATCTGTTAGGAACTAGAAACAAGCCATCCTTTGGTTTATCAGATTTTCACGTGGTAACTTGACATTGACCTTTCTAACCTGACACGACGGCTGGACCACTGAGTACATACCCTAAATGAAAACAAGTACCTAGTGGTCCAGATCAAGGGCATTTAGCATCAAGGCCTCTCCTCCTTTCCACGGCTGTGAACACTATGGCAGGGCTTAGTGTCAATCAGTGTTCACCACTGATATCAATCAGGACAAAGAGCTTCAAGTCAGTCAAGATTCTGTCTACTTTTGCAGGGGAAAAAAAAATCAATTTTGAGATGAATTTTTTTTATATCTTATCCACTGATTTATTCCCATAGATTTTTAAATCCCTTGTCTGTATCACACCTAGTTTATTCTTGCATGGGTCAGTGTTCCTCTGGGCATTTACTTGACCCACTCTGTATGGTTTCCCCATTTTATTCTGCTTTGATTTTTCATTTGTTTCTAAATCACATTTTGATATGATTTTTAACCAAATTCCATCTACTGTTTTGTTTTCATTCTTCCTGACTGCAATAGTCAACATCTTGAAGATTTAGTTTCTGACTTCCCAACCCTTTCTTGTTTCCTGTTCTCTTACCTACGGCACACCTGGGACCACAGATCTCAGGAAAAAAAATGGAGAATCAAAGCCACTCAAACTTGGAAGAGTGATCTCATTCAGATCCCTTCTAGAGACCTTTATTCCTGACTCTCCTAAATTTCCCATTCATAAAACAGGGGTGATGTCAACCATAGAAAATTTCCACAGAGATTATATGCATTCTAGAGGAAGAGTTAGTGGGTGTGTAGGGAAAACTGTAATTTTCTTATTTAGCAATCAGAATCTAAAAACAGCAACAATAACAAACTTGATAAAGGGGCTGCAAGCATAGTTCAATGGCAGAACATTTGCTAGGGTTTTGTAAGACCTTAGCTTCCACTTGTAACACTGAAAGAAAAGTTTAACATAGAAAACCTGGGGCCCTGATGCCTTGTGCTGCTCCTCTTCTATCGCTACTGTGGATAATTAGGAGATAGGCCAACTGATTCATTTGGGTGGCGTGGAGAGTTAACCCAGGGACATCCACACGATAGCTGGGTGTTCTAGCATTGAGCTACATCACTTCTGGCCTAAGTCCACTCTTTCCTTACTTCAATAAAGGGCCCCTTTCAAAATGTCACTAAAGGTGTCCTATAGAAACCTACAAACCAAACCAAAGCTTGATGATTATCCACCTACCATCAGCTGTGCTAACTGAATCTTTAGCACCATGAGGGGAATGCAATTTGTTTTTTGTTTTTTTGTTTTTCGAGACAGGGTTTCTCTGTAGCTTTGGTGTCCGTCCCAGAACTAGCTCTTGTAGACCAGGCCGGCCTCGAACTCCCAGAGATCCGCCTGCCTCTGCCTCCCGAGTGCTGTGATTAAAGGCGTGCGCCACCACCGCCCAACAGGGGAATGCAGTTTGCACCGTTAGGTTTATAACATGGCAGAGGACATTTCTATAGACCGCATGACATATCCTTTGAACCAAACAATATGTCTTCATGTGAAAAACTTCATATGCGCATATTAGTTTTGAATCCATGGTAACTGCTTTTAATTGGTGAGGAAGAACGCTGCTTTGATTCAGCTGCTGACAGCATCCCACTTGATAACAAACTGGGCTGTGTATCCTTCCTGCCCTTATAGAGCAGTAAGTATACATGCCACCTAAAGTGAACTGTCACAACGGTGCCGGTCCACAAGCAGTCTCCAGTGGTATCTGAAGCCCTAACATTTTCCTAAGGGTGTCTTTTGCCCCACTTGAGTAGCCCAGTTGGAAGGTTCTTTCAGAATAAATCCTATGGCATTTACTAACACCAAAACCAACATCCTCCATAAATAGACATATTTCTACATAAATTTTTTATAAATGAACAATAAAAATAGGCATTGATAAAAGCCAAAGACAGCTATATCACCTTTATTCTTTGGACTTGCTGATCTTGTGGGATTATTAAAATAACTAAGATTAATAAATGCAATTAAAACAAAACAAAACACAATACCTTTTGACTATTAAAAATTTTTCCCTGAAGTGATTTTTCTCTTATAATACTGTCCCAAAGTATCTAGCCCTGACACAGTCCACTGGAAAAAAAGTCTTAGATCATTACTTAATGGTAGTAATGAGACATTTGATAGAAGCCAATTGCTGGAAATGAGAAGCAGCCATCTCTCAGTAGTGGCTATTGGGCTTAATGCTATTATCCACAGCAACACCAAAAGCATGAGTTGCAAAGCAGCCATTAAGTCCCAAGTGATGCACAGCATGTGCTGACTGGCTACGGCTGCTCTGAAGCAAAGGCCAAACTCTAGAATGAGCTGCAACTGCCAGAAGAACTTGCAGGAGAGACAGTGCTGTGCACACCCTGTGGATGTGTGCGGCCTTTTCTCTTCTTCTTAGTTGACTATGCTAGCAGTCCATACATTTCAAAGTGATAGCCTTGCCCTTTGGCTTCTACAAATACATTGCTAGGTCACATTCCATTTGTTAATGCTGCCGAAAAAACAACGGAGCAGACAGAACAGGACTTAATCACCAAGTCACAAGAACAGCCTTCTTTTTGAGGGAGCTGGGAGGAAAAACTAGGGCCTGCAGGAGAATGTATTTCAGTACATAAAGAATGCTGTTTCCACTCAGCTAGATTCCAACCAATGGTGATTACACCCATCTACCTTCACTTTGTGAGCAGTTTGTCATAATGCAGGTATTAGCTCTTAGTGTTATGAATGACAATTAAGGACAAAACTGTCACGGCTAGCCCAAGCATACCTATAATCACTGCAGTAGGGCAGATGAAATAGCAACAACAAAATTGAAGACCAGTTTGAGCTACAGAACAAACGGACATAGATAACTTTGTTCTCAAAATAGGATGGTTCTTATGATGTCTATGAATGCATCAACCCAGATGCACTTTCCATGGTAAATCAGCAAATACCAAGCAAGGAGAAGAAGCACAAGTGAGGTTGTAACGTATTGCCAGAGAACGTATCTGTCATGCCAATATACTGACCTTGCTGAGGAAGCAGCACATTTTTCTGCCTTTACAATAGGAAACCCAAACCAGTAATTTAAGGGCTAGGAAAGTCCTTGTGTATAGGATAAGACTCCTTTGATTCTTTCTCGCCACTTCCTGGTTATTTTCTGAATCTGTCCCTTCATACCTCACTAACTGCTTACGCAATGGACAGGTAAATGTTCTAGCTAGTTGACCCTGGCCAATGCCCCTTAAAAGGAAACTATGGAGGTAAGTTGCTGAGCAATGAACACTTTTACTATTAATGTGCAGAAGCCTCAACTCAGGCCTCAACTGTACCAATGACTAGCAGACTTCTACCCCGAAGACTGTTCATTTAAACTCAGAAGCAAGGCAAGATAAAGGGAGCTGATATGAAGTCTGCTACAAAAGTTTTTTTAAGTGTCACTGATCCATCACTGGTGCATAAACCCTGGACAAAGGAAAGCAAAGCATAATTGTCGTCCGCATTGGAAATCAGTTCTTTCTTAGGGAATGTGGTGGGGGAGAGGGCCTAGTCTACCATAGAAGCCAATGAATAACTGCTAGGCATTCAGTAAACACAGACAGCCTACTCTATTGTTACTGTTAGCCAAGGATTCAGAACCCATTAATTTGCTTACATAATAAAACTGATGAATGAGTTAAGAGGAAAAAATGAATCTCTTTTCAAAGTTAATATTTTCTCCATTCAGTATTTACACAATTCTGGCTAGTTTCTGCCTGAAGTTCCCCATTACAAAAACTAATACACTTCAGTAGGACCATTTAAACAATATAAACTATTTTGCTTTCCTTTAAGACAAGGTCTCATTACATTGCTCAGGTTAACCCAGACATCTGCATCCTTCTACCTCAGCCCTGTGAGTGGCTGGGATTATAGGTGAGTGTCATGGCCTGAGCTTTACAGTAGTGTAATGTACCTATGATGTGAAACACAAAATACATTTCATCTGTAACATAAGTTTGAGCATTACACTACGGCCTCCTTTTGTAAACATGCCGATCAACATCTGAATTCCCATTTTCTACTCCTTATTAAGGGTTTCTTCTTGGAAGCACACACATTTTTTCTGCAGAGCAGCTCAAGTTAAACGAAAGGAATGGTGGGCAAATGGTTCTCTCTCTCCCTGACTTTAAAAACCATTCTCCTTGTTAGTAAAGTAGAGAGACAGGACCAATAGGCTAGGACCGTGGTACAAACACACCTCTGGTAAAAATATGAGCTTGAACAATGCGCAGGAATCATACCTGAGAGGAGTTATGAGACTCTGTCCTTCCTGAAGGACAGTATATTCAGACACTTTTTACTGATTTACTTGTAAAAAATGAAGTCACCATGAGCTTTTCTCAATGAAATATATGAAACTTTTTTAAACATTCCTATATGAAGCAGGCAAACTATGAAATGAAAGTTTTGAACCTTACCTGTATCTTCAATGCTTATGTATTTAGAAATCTGCACGTTTTCTTTATCTTCCATATCCTGTTATTTCTTGTTGCTGTTATTTCTCTGTTTTTAAGCCCAAACCCATTCAAATTATTAGTGCTCCTCTTGGAAGCACCCTGTTCTACTGCTAGAAACTGCTTAGATGGCTCTTGAGGGTGAAGCCCTTCGGAGCAGAAGCCAAGCAGGAAGAGCT